CGCGGCCGCCGCTCCGGGCCCGGGCGGGCGGCAGCACGTGCTGGCGGGGCAGCGGCCCCCAGAAGCGCCCCCCACACACACCTCCGCCGTCGCCGGAGCCTCCCCGCCACAAAGGCCGGTTGCTCTCGGGTGAGGGGAGGGGGGGGGGGGGCTTCCGGCCCGGGCGCGGAGCGGGCTCGCCCGGGAGCTTCAGCCCCTTTATAGGGCGGTTCTGGAAGCTCAGCCCTTCCTGGCGAGCGCTGGCTTCGCGGATCCGTCGGGCGTGTGCCTGCCTTAATTGGCTGATTTGCGTTAATCGAAGCCGTTTCTGCCCACGTTGCTTTCCCTGCTCCGCCCCGGTGCTCGGAGGAGGAGGGAAGGGCGGTAGCTTGCGCTGGTGGGCCGTTTGAATGGCACGCTGAAGCACAAAGGCCTACCGGTCACAGCAGTTCGCTCGCGTGCGTCTAATAAATTTGAATATGCTGAAGCAAGCGGTTGCCCTGCGGTGGAAGGACCGCTGCTTCTGGGTTTGCAGCAAAGTTCTACAACTGTCTGGCACACGCTCAAAAGCGGTTAGCTTCTGCTAGGATGAGCAGCTACAAGCCCCGTCCCTGTTGTCCAAAGGGAAAGGTGACACTTAAACTGCTTTTTCTGCCTAGCAGAAGTAACTGAAAGGCATTTAGGTGTGTGCAGTATACTACTTGTATTTGCATCGCTGCACATCTTCTTCTTACAATACTTTTTTATTGTTTTGTGTTTTGTTTTGTTTTTTTTACTTTATTTTTTAATAGGACCGCAGTTGGTGGAAGCCTCTTTGGGCAGGTGCTGCCTAGCTCCTAAGTCTTGCTGCTTTGGCTGTCAGCACGGCCTTAACCATTCTTACAGGGCTGTGTCTTCAGTAATTGGAACGCTTTCTATAGTGCTCTCTAGAAGTTCAAAATTATTGGTGTAATATAAACCATGTGGTATCTCATTCAGTGTCCTGCTTAACAGCAGCCAGTACAACTGCGCTTTTAAAGAAAATGCAAGAAAACCCAACGTATGCGTCATAATAAGAAGAGTCCATATTGGGCTTTTCCAGATAACCTGGTCCTAACACATGAAGGTTTATGGATCTTCCCTTGGTTTGGCTTTCTTTTTCCTAACAACAAGATTTATACCTATAGGAAAACATAATAAGTTATTAATCACCCTGATTCTTGCCCTGTCACCTAGGCACATATGCAGTAGGGCAGGTAATAGTTGGAGGAAACTTCTCTCGGGCTTCTGAACTTGTCACTTTTTTGTACTGATGTGATAGGAGAGGAGGAGCAATTTTATCAAATCGAACAATTTCTTTTTTTTTCCTCTTAAGGTAGAATAATGGGAAGTTCCCAAAGAAATGTGTGAGATGTAATGTATTAATTCTACAGCATGGATGGTCCCAATGGCATTAATTTTAATAAGTTCCAGGCCAGTATCTGGTATGGATATTGTAAAGTGTCTGACGCGATAAACAGTTTAAAGTCAGAAGCCCAAATAATTTCTACTGTAAAGTTCTGAAAGAACTGGCTCACATGTCTGGCTCACACATCTGGCTCACTGATATTTTTTTCTATAATCTGATTATTGGGATAATTTCAGAATGTATACATTCATTTAACAATCAAAGAATGGGAGGGATAGCCTGAGTATTTATAGGCCAGAAAGCCTAAATTAATTCCCCAGCAAGATTCTCCCTGAGAGACCAAACACAGAATTCACTCAATTATGGTACAGTTCCGTAACTCCTGGTCGATTCAGTTTTATCTATGCTCTCTTAGGTTTTGTCAAACACACACAACTTTTTTTTAATACTGAGTTTAGTTGAAAAAGATAAATATGTGCATGTAATCAGACACCACAAATGTAGTTTGCAAGACATTCTGATGCTAAAATAACACAGCCTTTTTTTAGAACGTACTGACTGAACTGCCCGATACACCTCGGCCATTGTTGTTAATGAGAGATCCTTAGTCAAATGCTCCCTGGAAGTCAGAGTTGCAAGTCCTGGAACCAAGCTTTGTCATCAGTGACCAGCAAATACAAATGATAGTGCTGGAAAAAGTATTTTATAATAAAGTTTGGCAGTCATTTGGACTCCCTGGTAAGACACGCCTGTTCAAGTACAATGCACTTAGGAACAGCCAGATACCAGCCCCGCTTGGGGAATTCCTTTCAAATCTAGTGTCCTCTGGCATACATGAAAGTGGACTTAAATGGTCTAGTCTCCTTTGTATGATTTTTGTTACAGTGTGTAACAAAAATTCCCCTCTTTTTCCATTTCTGATTGGGAAAAGTCTTGCTGCTTCTGTTTCTCTGTGTAACTTTTTCCTGGGCTTCTCTGAATTGCCTTCTCCCATGCTACTTGAGACAGAATTTAAAGAACTGAAAACTTTATTCCAGGCATGGGAACACTATCAGTCATGGTATAAAAATTTGTACTGTTTTCTTTTATGTTCCTTGTAAATTCTAATATTGGCCATTTTTCTTTTCTGTCACTGCATTTGATAAACACTGAACTAGTATCTTCACTGATATGTCCACAGTGTGGGTCAGGATCTTTGTATCAGCAGCAGATTAATTTCAGACCAATGCTTTGGTATTTGTTTCCAGTGTGTCTTACTCTGCAGTTGGCCTCCATGAATATTACATGTTGTGTGCTCACCTCATATATTAGCATTGAAAACGTTGGATCCAATTAGCAGCACTGGGAATGGTGTTTTGTAGCCTGCTTGCAAACTTCCTGTGCTGTGTAACCTGTTAATTGGATCACGGATTGTGTACACTTCAAAAAATCTTGCTTCTTGTTTGCTCAAATTATTTGCAGTAGCCAAGTGACAGATATTACAGAAATAATGCAAGCCACAGACTGTACAATCATCTAAGTCTTTCCTGCAGAATAACAAGCTTATAGACACTGACATTTGGAACAGTTACGTGTTCCATAATTACTGTTTCAGTAGACTCACTGATGCATGAAAAATCAGTGCATCTGTTTTGCAGGAAATAATCTTGAATACTATGTATAGATTTATTGTATAATTTGTGTTCCCTTCAAGTTAAAAGAATAACTCAAAATAGCTATTTCTGTTAAAATCTTTTAAGGTGGGACTGACAGTGAAGTTAAGTTGGACTCCCTCCTTGCTCTTTAATTGGGGTATTTAAAATCTTAATATCAGCTTGCATTTGGAATAAAATAAAATAAGTAAATGCATAGCATAGCTTTTATACATTGACTTTATTGCTTTGCTTTTGTGTTTAAATAGAAACTATTATTTCCGTGGTATTTTTTTCAGCACAGTAGCTGCTTTACTGGTGATTTTACACATTTTAAAGTTATGTAAGGATTGATGGGACTGATTTGAAACAAAAATTAACACAGCTTATATGAATAGTAAATGCTGTTTGGAAAATGTCTGGTCCTTGATTGCTAGTTCAGTGTTTTAATATTATGCTTCTTTTTAGTGCTTCATTCAGATAAATAACTTAATTCAAACAAAAAATCATTCAAATTTTGCAAGTAACCTCTTTTCTTGGTGTTTGTTTTGTTTTTCAGTCTCACACAATTCTACTTGTCCAGCCTACCAAGAGGCCAGAAGGCAGAACATACGCTGATTATGAATCGGTGAATGAGTGCATGGAAGGTGGGTGCAGACGTGGTAGTCAAAAACTGTTGTTAAAACTCCATTTTTGACATATTCCCAAACTTACTCAGTAAGAAAATAAGTTGCTGTTCATGTCTTCCCAAGGTAATTAACAAAAAAATGCAAAAATGTCTCATGCTTTTAGTTTACTAATGTTTTAGCAAACTAAAAAATAGTTATTCTTTGTTTCTGAAACTTCCTTTTTTATATTAAATGTCTCTTTTTGATTTAACTAAATTGAACCACATTCAGTTCATGATAGCAGGCAATATTCTTAGTGGGGCCATGCAGTAGACTTGCCTGAATGCATTTCATTGCAGGATCAGAGCCTAACTCACTAATCTTTGTGCTAGCCATGCAAAGGAAACATTGCTACTGGAAATTATATGTAGAAGTATGTATGCAATTGATAAATAATTTGCAGCCTCATGAGATATATATGCCAGAGAAAAAAATCCTGCATGACTTTGAGAGACACATAGTGAGCTTGGAAAGAAGATTGAAATACTACAGCTGTATGATTTAAATGTGGAATTTCACTTAACAGTAAAAATTCTAATTCCAGGAAGTTTTGCAAGGCAAACAACAGCATGTAAAGCCTCTGTGCTCACTTTAATATTGTATTCTTCTCAAATGTATCTGAATTATTTATGGACTAGCTTAAATAAAACTGATTTAAATTCATATACAGGCTTGTGCTATCACTCTTACCTCAGTAGCCCTGTTTGACTCTTTCATCAAGAATGATCTTATGAGATTTGAGTAGCTTTATTTGACATTAGTTCTTTTCTTTCTTGGGTGTCTGTACAGTAGGAATATATGTTGCAATTGCTGTCTTAAAATTATTAGAAGGAATTTCAGGATTTCAGTTGGAGCTTACTGCATGGAAAGTTACATCTTTGACAGAAGTAAAACTTTTTGCTCTAGATGATGATAATGCTTCTTTCCATGCATCTTACCAGATTTTGTAGTATTATGTTTCAATGCAAATAGCTAGAACAAAAGCATTTCAACTCTGCAAAATCTGAGGAAGAAGTTTATGTCTCTGTTTTCATGGTAGTCATCTCTAAACTTTCCTGGTAACTGTGATTCAGTAGCTGAAGAAGTTTCAGCAAATACAGTTGTTGTTTTTTTAATATTGCATTGTTACTCTTCTTTCTGTGTAGGAGTCTGTAAAATGTATGAAGAGCATCTGAAGAGAATGAATCCCAACAGTCCATCCATTACATATGATATCAGCCAATTGTTTGACTTCATTGATGACTTGGCAGACCTCAGCTGTCTTGTGTAAGTTCAGTTGTACAAGTCCATTTCAGTGACTTAGAGAAGTCAGAAGTCTTCTATCTAAACATGTTTTATTGAAATTTGGTAAGGTTCTGGGTGGTTTTTTCAATAACTGTTTGTAAGGCAGCAGTATTGCAGCTAGCATGCCATGTTGCCCACTTCAGTTCACTGCAACGAAATAAAGTATCTCTGAAGAAAGCTCAGAAACTGACAGTTCCACTTGGATTTTAGTCACATTGAAGCTCCCTGCATTTCAAATACTGAAGTCCAACAGTTTAATACAGCTACATATTTTATTAATGCTAGAATCTGTTTAAATTGGGGCTGTATCTGCTTTTGTGCAGTTGGTCCGATTCTTAAGGAGGCAGAACAATTACAGAATTTTATTCAGCTGAGGGCTGTACTAGTGGTACAGTAGAAGTCTACAGAAATGCATTGCAGTCAACTGTTTATTTTCATCAAGATACAGCAAGATGGAAGTTTCTGTAAATCCTAATGAAGTGATTGAGGAACAGATCAATCCTTCAGAGAACTCTAGCTAATTGTTTAAGTGTTCTTGTGAATACATTATCTCCAGTTCTTATCTGTGTGTTAAAGTTGTGGGCAAGCAAAGGTGGTCTTGTGTACTTTCCATTCTGACAGCACTGTGAAATTAAATCTTAGATTTCACTATTCAGAACATGATTTAATATTGTAACTAAATCACTTAGTCCAGATCATAAGTATTTTCCATGCCATAAATTTCAAGGTAATGGTTTGATATGACAGTGATATCAGCTTTGCAGAAATTCTGTAGGAATAAGGATACAAATCTCGTATTCAAATAGCAAAACACATAGCATTTGGTCTTCAAATGCCACAAACTCTTTTTAAGCCAGTGAGTATCTGGCATGTACATTCCTGCAGCTGTACTGCTCTGTCTGAAATCTGAGTGCAAGTACTTGTGTAGCAGCACAGTGAACAGCCTTTGCCAGTTGATTCCAGTTCAAAACAAAAAGTTATTTAAAAAAAACCCCTGAGCATCAGATTGCTTTCTTTTGCATTCTGATGTACATACTGAATCTCTGTTACTGATAGTGACTTATTACAAATGCCAAAAGTTTTCAGTAGAATAAGTAAAACAGGATTACAATTTCTGCAGTTACCTTGTCCCTAGACATTCTGCCACATTTGATCTTCAGGTGTCATAGTGCTGGGCTGATGCAGTTTGAAAGACACACTTTGTTTTAGTTTATCTAACAGACTGAAGCTAGCTACTTGCTTTGGGAAGTAGCAACTGGTTTCCACTACAGTCTTGTGCCTTTCTTAATTAGGCTTGTAAACTCAGTGTCGTGCCAATTTCTACTTCAGCTTACAGTTTTCCACCAGATGGCACATGTAGCACATAGTGTACTAGACATGTCTTGTGTTCATGGAGATTCCTAAAGTACCTGCTATCTGGTCTTGCAGTGTAGCATTATGAATAGATTGGGGCAGGGGCAGAAATCAGTAACTTTTCCTGAAACTAACATTTCTTAGACTGCACTGGAACTACTACTAACTGCTACTATATCAACATATACTGAAACTCTTTCTGTGGCCTTGAACCAGTCATGCTGGGTTTTAAATAAAAAGGCTTTCTTAGAAACAGTATGCTTAGGGTTTTTTCCTTAGGTAAGAACTGTAAATTGGTCTGGATTGAGTTAACTCTGGATTTTTACTTAGCTTCTTACCAACGACCATCTCACCCTTCTGATTAGAAATATGTGTATCAAGATTTTTACTGACCAGGACGTCAGTAGTTCTTGAAGCATCACTGAAAATACCATTTTCATCAAAAAAACCCATTCAACTTTAACGACTGAGAGGGAAAAGGAGGGTGTGAATCTACACAGATAACTTCACGCAATTTGCTTTCATTTTTCAGTCTAATTCTGCTTCAGTTCGACAGTGTCTTGAGTAACTGAGTTCTCTGGCCTTGGCAAGAAATCGACTATCCCTGAATAGCAAAGAAAATGAGTCTGTGGGTTCTTGTTTTCAATTTGCTTTTTATGAAGCAGCCTTGTTTTTTAGATGTGAGCTTGTCCTCACTGCCAACTGGCAAGAATCCTTTGTCATCCATCTATGAGTCTACCCTTGCTCCTGGAAAGTTGTGCTTTTATTCATTCTCTAAAAATTCCAAACAGAAGTGGAACACTTGAATTTACCTGAACACTTGCTTGAAGTAGTGCTTGGCTCATTAAGACAAATTAGGTTGTTTCCTGGTGGAACTATTCTTCTTCATTCTGAGCTCCAGAATATTAAGGTGCTCCATTTGTTGTCTCCCATAAGTAATTATATTCATGAATTAAAATGTGAACACACTGTGATCCAGTCACTCAGTAGTCCTTGGAGCATCTAGTTTTGTTTTAGGTTCTTACTGATCTGCTGGGTAACTGGTTTTTAGGCAACAGGATAAATCTGTTTGGTAAGTCGCAATTCCTATCTACTTCTGATATTACTTGTGTTCTGTACACAACTTTCTGCCTCATACACTTGAGGACGCTTAATTGTTTGTGAAGTTCTTCTGGTAAACGTATTACAGGGCAGACTGATGTTAAATTCATTCTTTTTTTTCTCTCTAGTTACCGTGCTGATACTCAGACATACCAACCATACAATAAAGACTGGATAAAGGAGAAGATCTATGTCCTCCTCCGCAGGCAGGCCCAGCAAGCAAGCAAATAATGGGGGCACCATCATTACATGGGTTTGGGGGAGGGCTTGGACAACAGGTGTGTACAGAGTGTAGTAGTGAACGTTTTGTATTATAGTCATCCTGTTGCCATCTTGTTAAACTCTTTAGCCAGGACTGAATGTATTGTTAGAGATGCAAGGATTTTGTTGGATTTGACTTTTTTTTCAGTGTAAATGGAGAAGAAAGTGCAACATCTTCAACAGAGTTTTAATTTGTTTTTTTTCCTCTGGTTAGCTAATGGTCCTACCTTATTTGAACCCCTGGGGCTGTTCACATTGTACTTCACCACATTCACTGTATGTGCCCTCCTGTGGGTTTTCCAACATTTAGTTATGTCCTTGAGACGGTCTTATTGGGGAATAAAAAACTACCCTTTAGTTAAACTTGAGTGCTGAATTTTGTGGGTTTTGCCAGAAAACAAATTAAATCTTTCTTGCCTGTTTGCCAAGGAATGAGGTTTGAAACATGTGGACTGAGCCAACAGTTGTTTGCTGTATTAGAAAATGGCTCAAATTCTGGCCTGCCAAGTTAACTTCTCTGGCCTAGTCTTGACTACTGTCTTTCCTGGGGATCTTTGGGAAACACAGCAACCCTCTTGCAATCTAAACTTGATCTTTCTACAAGGCATTTATATTCAGGTAGGTGTGTCTGTTCCAGGATAGGTGATGGGAGAGCCCAGGCTGAATGTATCACATCACAGACCCCATGAATTAGTCCACTTAAAACCTTCCCCTGAGAAAGGAATAGGCAAAGCAAATTGTCTTGATGGGGATCTGCCCCAAACTGCATTTTCTCTTTACAGAGGACAAGGACTTAACTGTTTGCATGCACCGTAAAATTATATCTGCCCCTAGATATCTTGAACACTGATGTCTTTGTAATTTTGCTGTACTGAAAAAGTTTGGATTGGAGGACACATTAGACCAAAAAATACAGGTAGAAAAGCAAGGCTGGCTTGGTACTTTGTGCCTTTGTGTTACTCCAGAGTTTGCCTACTGTAGGTACAGATCTGAGTCTTGGACTGTACAGGCATACTCAACCAGGAGCAGTTCCAGGATTAACAGAGGAATGGAATTCTCTCTAGTGCACTTAACTTCCTAATACACATCAATAGTTTCTGATAGACCTCACAGCAAATGGATTGGCTTAAAAGAATCTGAGGTCAAATTGTCTGTCTATAGTAAAGCTTTAATGAAAATAGCTTCATTTAAGTAATAGCTGCTGAAGACTTGGAATCAAGTTACTAGAGAGATAGAAATTCTTAGAAGGATATTGGGAGGAGGTGTTAAACTTTTTGCTCAACACAAATACAAATTGGAGACTAGACCTACTAGCTCTACAGTTGTAGTGGCCAGGAATCAATTCAATCTGCTAACATCAAAGCATGCTTCCTTTATAATAAATACTGATTTTCAAAACATAGTAGGTCAGAAGTATATTAATCCACTTAAGGTTACTTAAATCTATAAATACTTCTGTATGGAAGTTTTACATCCAAATGCAGCTTGACACAGCAAGTAAAACTTAAAAAAATTCACTATTGCCCCATATAATAACATTCAGGTTTAATATAAGCAATGTTATTTAAACAGCTTGTATAGCTTATCCTCCTGTGTAGCAAGTAGTAAAATGACATGTTCTTTCCTGACATGTTTGAGGTTAACTTTTGATAAATGTTTACAATTTTTTTGGTAAAAATTCCAATATTCTCATGGTGGATCATTCAAGGTGCTAAGTAGGATGCATTTTTGCAGTCTTTAAATGAAGCCAAATAAACATCCCTTCTCACTTCCTGTCACATTAAAAATAGTGATTTGATGTTTTCCTCATTCTGTGAGCTCGTTTTCAATTTAAGGAAAATCAGCAATGTGGACTCTTCCCTTATTGTGAAAAGTACAAGGAGCATGCTGATTCTATAGTAATCAGTAACTTGGAACATAACACAGCTCTTCCTTCAGAGGTAACCTAAAGTTTGGTCTGATTGATTAAAAAAACCCTTCCTCTTCCTTGGTTTTGGCTCTAGCATAGTAACTGTGTGAACTAAGACCAGTAAACAAGTACAAAATACAAATTTCTCATGTTAGAGCAGAAAATGGGAAAAAGGTACTTAAAAGCAGATGGTAATAAACGTTTCTCCTTTATGAAAGGGACTTTGTGAAGGTGTTTTGGGGGAAGTGGAAGGTAAACAAGCTTTAACATCAAGGCTAATTCACTTTTGGGTTTTTTTTTGTTGGTTTTGGTTTTTTGTTGTTTTTTTTTTTTTTAACAAACTTCTGTGGTCATCTCAGTGATAAGTTTTCACAGAACTGGAAAATGCAAGTAAATATTCCTTTTATATGTCTGGAGCCAGACTCAGCCTTCTGCTGATAGAAAAACATGGTCTGTAAACCACTTTAAGAGAAGGGACTTGGGCATCATCTCTTTTCCCCGTTACCCAGCTACAAGACTGTTTGGTTGGGTTTTTTGCCTGAAATAAGCTACTGGGTATAAAACTAGTGTGTAGTTCTTGAACTGCTGTTCTCCATATTCCTTTAAAGTTACCTTTTACTTGATTAACTATTCACGAAAGAACAGATTTGTTGCTTAACTGAGCAGCTGACTGAATACACTGGAAGGAAAAAAAAAAAAAATGCTGCAGCATCTACCTGATGTGCAACTGGTTAGAAAGAAGAATCTGGAAAGCTGTCTCCAGCTAACCACTGCCTTCAGAAATACAGTAAAGAGGGTTATGAGCATTTGGAAACATACAATGTGCTAGTAGACTGGCACTATAGTAATGTAGTCTGCTCTAGCAGGCCAGGTGAAAAATTACTCTCCGGTTTGCTGCTTGGCTCCTTTACAGTGAAGGGTGACAGCAGGACATTTAGGACTTTCTCCAGTTGGACCCGTCCTTAAGAGGCGTAAGACAGCACTCCTAAGACATATCAAGCATTTGCCCAAGTTCAGCTACTTTAAAAGTGAGGTTCGTCAGCAGCATTTTGCAAGTAAAGCCATAAACAAATTGCATGATTACAGAAAGTACATCAGAAAAGAATCTTTGCCTGTCATCCCGTGCGTGCTTTGCCTGTGGCAGATTGTCTGGTGCTGCTTGCATAAAGAATAGGTACACGTAGCAGCGTTGGTCATGCCTGCTACAGTGTGGGAGTAAGTGATGAAGTAAATTATATTGGCTGTTTCAGCAGGAGAGTGGTACAGTATTGTAAAACGGGGATAAAGAGTGGAATCCAGAGACCTAGTATTTCCAAGTGTGGAAATACTTAATACATTTTTTTTAAAGCAAGTCCATTAAGCAAGCCTAGCCTCAGTCCAATGATATGTATGAGCCCTCATCCATTTACCAGGAGTACAGAGCAACTGAGGTGCCTACCTGACTTCTGCTTGACTTGTGGAGCCATGAACCATGCTGCATCTTTTCTGATCATGGAATAGACAAGTCCTCACGCAGTCTCTGGACTGACTGCTACTGATTTCAAGTTGAGATGTGACCAGAACGGTACAACTCATTTCTTGGCATGGGTATTCACTAAGTAAGTGGTAAGGTGAGGTTTTGCGAGATGGCCGAGCTGATCTAACAGTTCACTGCTGTTGGAAGGCGTAATGCTACTTGATGCTATATACAAAAGAGACACTGGGTGTTGTGGGGAAGAGGAGAACAGGACTGCCAATCAACACCAGCAAGCAGAGTAGCTGGTCACTTAAAAAAAAAAATCTCATCTCAGGCTTTGAGAACAAGGTCAAGCATGGTAGATGCTGTTGCAGAAAACAGTAGATAAATTGTCATATATAGATATACATAAAGGACCAGTTTGTCTACCGCTGTGTGCTCCTGCCAGTCAGTAATGCACTGGGCCAGGGGGTAACCCCACTAGGATTAGAATTTGAGTTGTATTTTACACCACAATAACAACAGGATCAGCCTCTTTCTTACAGGAATCTCACTTCAGTATGCCAAAGGGAGATTGTGAAAAGCAAAATTGAGTTTGTATTCCTGCTTTGAGGGTGAAATAAGCTAGGTAGTTAAAATACTTGTCTACAGTTTCTTCCATCATCATTTTCTTTTAAAATAGACTGACATCATGACATACATCACAATACATCATAAGCACAGCAGGAAAGTAGCATCCCCATCGTTACATCAGTCTGTTCTTGTGCTTAACACCACTGTCACGTACAGTGGGGAAAAAGAGTAAGTAGTAGTCAAGACTTGTTATCTTTGTTTATGACTAAGTGCTTTAGAAAAACCTATTTACAGCAAGAGGAGACTTGACCACTCATAGTATTTTTTAGGTTGGAAGAACCACCAGCTTTTTGACTTGCATTAGAAAGAGGTAAGAAAGTTGCAAAGTTGCTGGTTGTGCTCTTATTACCATATGCCAAGCAATGTGCCAGTTCGTGAGGCACTGAAAACAAGGCTGCTTCTTGAGATGACTTACTCCCAAAGGGAGGAGGGGAGTGCTCCAGCTACTTTGCTTTAGAGCACATAAACAGTTATACACATTTGCAATTCCCACTGAGTAACAGTCTGATTGTACTGAAACTCAGCTATGCTGGAAACTCAAACAATCCATCAGGAAAGCTAATAAACAGAAAAATCAAGGGTAGCTGGATTACAAGTACAAAGTAATTTCAAGCTCCTGTTTTTCAACTGCTATGAAACTGTTAAGTGTCTGCTACACCTTGGGGAGCATTAAGACAAATAAATTATAAATACTCTGTCTTACCATTATCGGGGGGGGGGGGGGGGGGGGCAGGCATCTGAGGAGCCAGGAAGCATAATTTAGCAATTCTCCAGCAGGAGAGGGGGTATAGCTGAGGCTAGTGACTGAGTCTGAGATTCTCAGCCTCACTGAGCATCTGAACCACTCGCCTCAGGTACCCACTTTCCCTTGAAGTCTGGGAGTGTTGACCTCAGTATTTGTCTCAAGATAAAATGATAAATAACTTGTGCTAGCTATACATAAACTGCAAGAGTAAATCTGTTGAAATAGAAAATTATTTTAGAGCTCTGCCATATTAGTCAGTTCCCTCAGGTTTTCTACAGTGAGTGGCTTGTCTGCTATAATGTTACTTAGTATTCACTGAATATAACATACCATTCACTGAAATAGCAGGGGAATGGATTTGCCGCTGAAATACACTGAACGGAGATGTTTGGTTTTGCATAGTACAAGGCAGCTCTCTATTCTGACCCATTAATAAATGCTTCATCCTCACTGTGCCTGAAAAGGATTATAGTTAAAGACAGCCCCATCTGGATTTGTTACAGGGAAACATCGGATTCTAGCAAGTAGTTTTCTCATGACTGTAATCTGAACTATGCCTGTATGAACAGTTTATCTGGATGAGGTTTGCGCACAGCTCCCATTTAGTTTTTATTCCTACT